AAAAAAACGTTCCAATAAACTTCCCAATCTGCTCCAAAATTGATGCGACGTATAACCCATGGGTATGTCATGCAACTGAACCCATATGTCAACTGAATCGAGCAGCACATTGATCGGGAGTACACCGTCAGGTACTTGTCTGCACACCAACGTATGATTCTCAAATGACCAGGACCCCTCCTCCAACACATACTGCACATCCGTAATATGATAGAACATGAACAAGAACAAATTTGGCTGTAGCTCCGAAACCTGGACATCACGCACCGGTTGCCACACCGATGCAAGAACCTGTCGCATATATTCCAATTTTATCAACTTGGTCGTTAGAAAACGTCCGAAAACACCCCACGACCGTTCGGCGTCCTCCTGCACCACGCCATCATTGCCGACCGTCGGATCGAACGGCCGCTCCTCTTCCTCTTCCAAAGCAAGGTCTGCCCACCGTGCCGTGAAACCTGCTACATCGTTTCCTGCTGTCGACGTCGCCATAATCAGGAGAAAAGGCCGGTAATGATACGCTGGAGAAAGAAACAGAATCGGTAAACCCTAGCAACAGAAAAAACTAGGACAAAGACAAAACCCTAGACTTTAGGCTAGAGAGAGAATTCCCCTGTTTCGCATTAATTAATTATATGTTTTTCTAAAAATGTATATTAACAATTTAATATTTAATTATAAAATAGTTTAATATTCATTGCGTGCATCTCACGGTGCCACTAAGCTAAGATACGAAAAAATAATAATTCTGGCAATGCTTTCGAGTGAAGAATCAATCATCAATGCAACATGAACACTTAAAGCCCCTCATAAGATCACCGAATATACATATTTAAGGATTACCCAGAACAAAAAATTGAATTTTCTTTTTTGAAGATTTCAAGAACAATACCTTAGTTTATGCAAATGTCTTCCCTTTTTCCGGTGCCGCCTGGATTTCAGTCTTGGGCAATAGGTAGGGGTGAAAATAGGTCAGGCCCCTTTGCAGGGGTCTATGGCCTAGCCTCGTTTGGGCCTAGTTAGGTCTGACCTATTTAGTAAATAGATCAGGCTTAAGTTCGTTTTAAAGCCTATTTATTAAATAGGCGCAACCTATATCTATAAAGTTCTATTGAAGCTTAACTGATATCAGATGAGAATTGATAGAGTTGTATTGAAGCTTAACTGATACCAGATGAGAATTGATAGAGTTGTATTGAATAATTGTATTTAACAGATTATACATAGAGTCCTAATAGTGAACACTTAATAACCAAACTCATGTTCATGTTCATAATCACATTCATTCGTGTGTTCGTGAACACTTAATAACCAAACTCACTATATATATGTATGTGTGTGTGTGTGTGTGTGTGAGTGTGTTCGTGAACACTTAATAACCCAACTCACGGCAAATTATTGTATGGACCGTGGTCCACACAAATTGTGTGGACAATGAATATCAGGTACATATTGAATATATTATATAATATTCCCTTCATATATTTAAAATGTACTTTTAAAAAATATACTTTACGTACATAAATAATGTACCCTTAGTATATTAAAGGTCTATGCAATAATAATTGCAAACTCACTATATATATATATATGTGTGTGTGTGTGTGTGTGTGTGTGTGTGTGTGTGTGTGTGTGTGTGTGTGTATTCAAATAAGGACAAGTATATTATAAAGGACTGTGAGGACAAATGTAGTGTGTGTCATTAGGCGGTATGTCGTGTGCATGGCCGAATGCAGTCGTGTGCCACAGTTTATATGTCGCGCGCTAGATTTGTTAATTTATAGAGCCTGTGTTCGAAACCTGATGTTTACATTTATTCTTGTGTGCCATTATGTATTAAGTTGTGTGCTTGGTATTAATTTGTTGTGTGCCCATTATTTGGGCTCACAGTCCTCTATATATTGTTGTCCTCATTTGAACTCAACCCTATATATATGGGACGGATCTTGTGAGACCACCTTGTAGATGAGAATATGAGATCATAGATTGCATCCAAATAGTACTGTCAAAGCGGGCCGCCCCGCCCTGCCCCACCGCGGGCTTAATTTTTCGTGGGCTTTTGCGGGCCAGCCTGCGGGCTAGGATTCGTGCAACCCTAGCACGCCCCACGCGGGTTGGCAGGCTCTGCGGGGCGGCCCGCAGACTTTTTTTTTAGTGTTTAAAAATTAATATTTTTAAAATATTAATCTCATATATATATATATATATATATATATATATATATATATATATATATATATATATATATATATTAATATTAATTTTTATTTTTATTTCATGTAATAGGTCTAACCCGCAGGTCGGCTTGCAGCCCGTGTGGGTTGCGGGTCAAAGCTGTCCCGCCCCGTTAGGCCCGCATTTTCATGGGCCTATTTTTTCATGACCCTAACTCGCCCCACCGTAGGGCGGGTGCGGACCAGCCCGCGGGCTTTGGCCCACTTTGACAGTACTACATCCAATCAATATATATATATATATATACATTGAACCCAACGTGAATTGAACACGCAACCTTCTAATTTGGAGTCAGACGTGCTACCATTGCGCCACAGATCCTGTTTAAGAGATCTCGCTCTCTTACCTGACTGGGCTTTCGTTTGTTTGTACCTAATCCACTAAAAATCATATCAAAATTTTCCCAAATTTAAAATGAACGTTTGATATTGATACATTTAATCTTGAGTAATACTATTCCCTTCGAATATTTTTATTGCATTAAGCATCCTCCCCTTATCCATGTTAAGGGGGAAATCTTAAATATGGATCTTAGTGAACACAGTTTACGGTAAACTACTCGTATTTATTAAGTTAAATGAACATTGTGCTTACTACAACTAATATAAATAGATATTATTTTTAAAAATAAAATAAAATAAAACAATTGCTATAACTCCTAACATAAAACCACTTCATTCATTACTATATATATATATATATATATATATATATATATATATATGCCAAGCTTATAGATGATCATATATAGCTTTTGATATAGTTGCATTATTATTCTTACAGAGTTGAGTAGTTGCAGACTATAGGTGTTGGTTTTATGACTTTTGGGCACGGCAGGCCAACAATACCATTAGAATAACGAGAATAATGTAGGGAAAATATAGAAAAAATATATGAGGAAGATATATGAATGTTGTATTGGAGAATATTGTTTGTGATTATTGAACAGTTGTTCCCTTTCTTCTATGTAAGGAGTCTATTTATACACGGTACTCTTATAAGGGTACATGATATTAGGCGGAGGCCAGTGAAGGGTCAAGTCAAACACCAGGTAGCTAGGGGATTATTGTGCAGAGGTCAGAAGGGTCAAGTCCAGCATCCTGTGTCTCGAAAAATAAAGTTACGCTTTCACTACTAGCTATAACTCCTAACATAAGACCAGTTGAAGCTGTTGACTCAAAGTGTTTTGTCAAAGTTATGTGCAAAAAGAATTCCAACTCTATAAAAGAATACCAAGCCTAAGAGGAGTAGTTATTGAAGAATACTAGTTCTAAAGGGAATTGTTATTGAAGTTTTTCTAGTTCTAGTCTGATTAGGAATAGCTTTGTTATTCACGAATCTGTTAGGAGTAGCTACTATAAATAGGGGTTGTCCTTTATTGTAGAACTCAAGCTTGATTAGGAATAGCTTTGTTATTCACGAATCTGTTAGGGATAGCTACTATAAATAGGGGTTGTCCTTTATTGTAGAACTCAAGCTTTCAAGATCTAATTGTGAGGTACGAGATTCATTGAGAAGAGATACCCAAATCCCCGTGAAAAGTAGTACATGTGTTTAGGTCTCAATAGTCCGATAGGAAAGATCGTTCTATTGTGTAATCTCCGGTTCCAAACAGCGTACTTTAAATATTAAAATTTTAGTGGATTTAGGCAAATTCTCAAATTTAGATATGCCTCGCAGATTAGGGTTGATTGCCGAAACTGCGTTACAGATCATTTGTGTTACAAACGTTAGCTTCAAACGTCACTGTGTGCTGCGCTTATATAAATTTCAATTGGTATCAGAGCCAAACTGCTTAAGTTATTAGCAGGATCCTAATGGAGTTTCCCAGAGAAGGATTGTTAAGCACTAGGCCACCTGCCCTCATTGGCACGAATTTTTCCTACTGGAAAGCCATAATGCAAATATACATCTTAGCACAAGGAGAAGGTGTCTGGAATGCTATAGAAAACGAATGAAAAACTCCAGTTGATGATAAAGGAAACATAAAACCTAAAATTGACTGGAGTGAAGAAGAAAAAATAGAATATAACTTCAACTCGAAGGCAATGAATGCAATCTATGGAGCTGTGAGCGAAGATACCTTCAAACTGATTGCCACCACTCGCATAGCCAAAACTGCGTGGAGTATATTATGTGATCATCATGAAGGGAACACGTCTATAAGACAATCCAAATTACAGATGATACAGACAGAGTTTGAAAACTTGAAAATGGAAAAAGAAGAAAATATCACACAATTTAGTGCCAGAGCTTTAAGCATCTCTGGAGATGCGTTTAACCTAGGCGAACCTATTCCTAAACCCAGGCTCGTCAAAAAGGTCTTACGTTCCCTACCTGAGAGATTTATAATAAAGGTTACAGTCATCCAAGAAAACAAAGATTTAAACACCTACAAACTCAATGATCTAATGGGAAATCTTCAAACATATGAGTTTGAGATACTGCAAAAAGGGGAAAATAATGACAAAGGAATTGCGTTGCAATCAAAGCTGAAAGAAAGTCCAAAAATTGATACTGAAACCATGGAACAATCAATTGCTCTCCTAACAAAGAATTTCAACAGAGTTCTCAAAAAATTCAACAAATTTAGAAACAAAAGTGCTTCAATCAATCAAGGGGACTTCCCAACTGGACAAAATCAATCTATTTCAAAAAGAAGAGACAGTTCAAATACAGAAGGAATACAGTGCTATGAGTGCAAAGGGTTTGGACAAATCTAGTCCGAATGTGCTACATACCTTAAAAGAAAGAACAAGACATACATGACAACATTAAGTGATGACTCAGACAGTGAAGAAGACACCAACACCAATTTCGTAGCATTCACCACAAATCATGAAAATAACAACGGAGAAGATATACAAGAATTACTAGAGGCATATACTCAACTACATGCCAAATGGGAACAAATCATCAAAGTAAATCTAGAACTCATGGAAGAAAATCAGTTTCTAAAAGATGAAAAAGATAGAGGAGAAAAACGGTTCAAAGAAGCTCAAAATGAATTATTAGACTCCAAAAACAGAGAGGCAAAACTGCTACAAGAAATCAAGGCTCTAACTGAAAGGCCTAGGTCTCCAATCTCAGCCTCTAGTGAAAACCAGCAAAATGAAAATTCTGAGGTGTCACAACATCACTTCCAACATCGAAGAAGAATCAGATGCTACTACTGTCACAGACTCGGGCACATCAAAGCATATTGTTTTAAAAGACAGTATGATCTCCAATACAGACATAACAACAGGAGCTGGACTAGGCAGGCTCGAAATCAGAATAAGAAAATCTGGGTAAGAAAAGATCAAACACAGGCTGTTGCATATACCACAAGAACTAGCAAGCAAAACATTTGGTACTTTGACAGCGGATGTTCAAGGCATATGACTGGAAATTCAGAAAATCTTGAGAGCATCCAGTACAAAAATGAAGGGCATGTCACTTTTGGAGACGGTGGAAAAAGACAAATTATTGCAAATGGTACCTTGAATGTCCATGGGCTGCCTAAATTGCCAAAAGTCCTTTTAGTACAAAGCCTAAAAGCAAATCTAATCAGCATAAGTCAGCTTTGTGAAGATGAACTCAAAGTAGAGTTCTCTAGAGACAATTTCAATGTGTTTAATCAGAATCATGAGTGTGTCATGATGGGAAAAAGGTCCACAAACAAATGCTACACATGGGATAGTGATCTATCTTGTTTACAGACAACCATCAGTCAAACACAATTATGGCACCAACGTATGGGACACATAAATTTTCATGACCAAGGAGCATCCCCAGGCTATTCATCAAACAGTGTGATCATTAATGATGTAACTCCAGCAATAACCATTGATGATGACGAAAGTCCAAGAGTTGTTGAAACAACTGTTCCGACACCCCTGACTAATGATATGTAGAATTGCAGAACAGAAACATAACCAAATGAAGAAAAGGATAAAAGTCATTCTACTGTCTTAAAAATTCAGAAAAATCATCCTTTGGAAAATATCATGGGAGATCTCAATCAAGGAATAAAGACTAGAGGAAAGAAACAAGATTACCTCAAAATGGACGAAGAAGATTATTCTTTCACCTCTAGGTTTGAAACAAAGAGTATTGATGAAGCACTAAGAGATAAATTCTGGATAAAAGCCATGCAAAATACAACAGCCTCAGGAAGCTTTTAGAAAAAAAAAAAAAGGGAGAGAGAAAAGATTGTTTTTTTTTTTTTTTTTTTTTTTTTTTGCAGAAAGAGAAATCAAACTCCGCAACAATCTAATGAAAGCTATCAATGTCCAGACGTTGGGAAACATGTGAGTATTCAAGAATAATAAATCAATTGTCTAAAGAACAAATACTTGAAGAAGAAAGGTCCAAGAATAATAAATCAATTGTCTAAAGAACAAATACTTGAAGAAGAAGGTTCAAGAATCTGGAGTGGTCTTGTAAAGATTGTTGTTCTCCTCCAGCTCGTCGTATATATCCCACATGCACTTAGCGCATCAGCTGCCGCAGCAATCGTCCGCCAACGACTTTTCTTGCGGTGGAGGAATGGATTCCATTGGGTTTTCTGGTTTCTTCTCAGCCTCAGCCTCATCCTCCTCTTTCTTGTGATTGGTTGCCGAATCTGCGGTGATTTTGTTTTTCGCTTCGTCGGCCATCGTGTTCTTCAAGGCTACAACACTTTTGTTACAGAATAGCTTAGGATAATGGAATCTGATTCGTCGAAGAATCAAATCTCTTATAGGCATGGCCGGTACAGCTGCGCCTCAGACATGACGTGGCACTTGTCGGCGGCGAATTGGTCGTGAGTGGCGGCGTTACGGGATGAAGAAATTGGAGATGAAGATGATGCACGCCCAATTCCATATAACCAATCCGCCCATTTACAATGGCGTCTACGCGGGCTTTCAGACGAGTCACCTTTCGGAGGAAATCCAATAAAAAAAATCTTCCACTTACGGATAACTATCAAGAAATCAAGAAAAGAAGCCAGTGTGCTCCTTGTTTATGTAACTTGAATAGATGATATTCTAGGATGGCAGCTCATGAAGTCACAAACAAAGATTCAAGACAAACACTCATCAAATAAAAGAAATATATGGAATCAATTAAGGGGGAGAAGAATAAAAAATCAAGTCACCATGAGATCAAGGTTTTTGCCAAAAATTTGACAAAGGGGGAGATTCTTGACTCAAAGTGTTTTGTCAAAGTTATGTGCAAAACGAATTCCAACTCTGTAAAAGATATCAAGCCTAAGAGGAGTAGTTATTGAAGAATACTAGTTCTAAAGGGAATTGTTATTGAAGTTTTTCTAGTTCTAGTCTGATTAGGAATAGCTTTGTTATTTACGAATCTGTTAGGAGTAGCTACTATAAATAGGGGTTGTCCTTTGTTGTAGAACTCAAACTTGATTAGGAATAGCTTTGTTATTCACGAATCTGGTAGGAGTAGCTACTATAAATAGGGGTTGTCCTTTATTGTAGAACTCAAGCTTTCAAGATCTAATTGTGAGGTACGAGAGTCATTGAGAAGAGATACCCAAATCCCCTTGAAAAGTAGTACATGTGTTTAGGTCTCAATAGTCCGATAGGAAAGATTGTTATATTGTGTAATCTCCGGTTCCAAACAGTGTACTTTAAATATTAAGCTTTTAGTGGATTTAGGCAAATTCTCAAATTGAGAAGTGCCTCGCAGATTAGGGTTGATTGCCCGAACTGCGTTACAGATCATTTGTGTTACAAACTTTAGCTTCAAATGTCACTGTGTGCTGCGCTTATATAAATTTCAGAAGCTTATATAATACCCTTTGGTTTCAATTTCACAAACATCTGCAGTGGAAATAAGTGAAGTTATCTAAAAAAACATCACCGGAACTTCAAAGAGCCAAAAGGCGATGAAGTTTCCGTGTAGCGATTCTGTGCCCTGCACTCAGATTGTGTTGGACAACATCAACCTTGACGCTCAAGATGGCACTGTTGAGGTATACTGCAACTCTGCCACCGGTATCGGGTATGGACTCATTCATCCATCTGCAGAATACCTTAGCTCTTCTGACAAGGAAAGTAAGCAGCAGGAAATGGATGCTGTTTTCCATCTCGTACGTCTCTCCAGCAGCGGGTTCATGTCTGTGATTGAGGATGAGGACGACGGCGGGGTGCTTAGCAACTTGGCGTTGCAGCGATGCGACGCCTCTTCATTCCATCGCGGAGATCTGGCTTGCTGCTGCCTCTTCTCTCTTCTCTCACCGGCGCCGTTGTGGTATTGCTTGTGATTAAGGAGATGAAGCTGATGATGGGAGATAATGGTTGGGTCGGGTCAGGCCCATTCGTGGCAGATCTGGTCCTATATAAAAAAAATTAAAATTGGGGCCTATTTTTGTTTATGTGGGCCTGTTTAATTTTTTCCTTTCATCATCCCTTAAAATTTCATTTGGTATTTAGTTTATTCTCCAAATGAATACTCTCTAACTCATTCATAATTAAATTATTATTCAATTTTTGACAAATATTAAGTTTTAAATTTGTTGTTTAAATTTTAATTTAATATTGATGTTTATATTTAATTGCCTAAAGTATTGCAATTTATTTAGAATATATGGGTTAATAATATATTAATATGCAAATCCAAGCATGCTATGTATATTCATAAATTATTGTTATAATTATACATTTATAATAGCATGCATTAAGGTTGGATTTAGCATATTATTAACTCATAAATTCTTTTTTAAATATCATTCAATTTTTGGATCCTTGGGCCAATTTTAGTCATCACGGCCTATTAATGGTAGCTTGTTTTGGTTTCCCTTTAATTTTGGACATATTTTAATTTTATATGTCTCTGGGACTTTATAACCTATTTTGAACAAGCTATTCGGGACCTATCTTGGGTCATTAAAGTATGGATCATATATTTTTGATTGATATTTAAATAATTATTGTAGCTCTTTTATTTGATTATAACATGTTTATTAAGTTTTAATTATTACTAACTACCATATTTTGGTATTCATCGTTGGTAATAATATTAAGTTTTGGGTCTACTTCAGTATTGGACCATTTTTCATTCATGTTATAATTCATTTGGGCCATTGAGCTTTATGAGCCTAATTTGAGTGATTAAAGGCTATAATTATTGTCTTGGCCTGCGTTGAGACATTAAGAATTTAAGGATTTAATTGTTATTTTGGCCATTAAGAATTACAAACTATTGTTTAAGTTGATGATGTTTTTAATCTATCAATAGTTTTCAGTACCTTAATAATAATATTAAGTCTTTAATTTAATAGCAAAGCAATATAGTTGGTATATTGTTTGTGTAATGGTAATTTGGTTATTACCTTAACTTCAGTCTCCCTAAGTATCATAATAGTCATGGTTAATTATTATGTGGTAAATTGAGATTAGTATTTGGCATCCCTTAATTACAGTTTTTGCCTTTATTGTAGTTATTATTAATTGGCATTATTAATTACTGTTATTAATTTTAGGGACTAATATTATTTTATTACCTTCTATAATAATTATTATTCTATGGTAATATGCTATATTTGTTATATTGGCATGATTACCACTTCATTTCACATGACTATTAAAGTTGATAATTAAGTCCTACCAATAAATTTTTTAAATGTACCATTGGACGCTGCATCGAGGCTATTGACACTGACAGTGAAAATGGGAGAACTTTGGAGTTTTTTCTTCTCTTGTGGATCATCATCGTTATTAGCGCAATGGGGAGATGCGATTTGCATCATTAAGGTTAGCCATTAATTATCTTTTACGGTTATTATTGATAATTAGTGCTACAGTTATAGTTAACCGTTAATTTGAACTAGTGACATATTTTATCTTTAGAAAAATAGAAACATTAAAAGTGCATTACCATACTTTAGTTTGTCATTACTAATTTTAATAGTAATTATAATGTTACTTATTACTATTAATAATTAATTAATGATAACATTAATATTGTTATGGTATTATGATATGTACCTTGAACTGTTTTCAATAAATTTATGTGACAATATTCCAGTACAGAAAATAATTTTCTGGACATTAATATTTTTCGGACTTCAAATTTTATTAAGTTTTCAAAATTTTATCCGAAAATATTTATATGTGTTAGCGATTTTGACCATTGTTTTTCCATATTTAGTCTCCTACTTAATGTGATAATATTATTATGGCTACTTATTGCTATTTTGACTATTTTCAATTTTGCCATTAATAATAATATTATAATTATCAGCTAGGTTATGGAGAGTGATTTTGAATCAATTTAGTAATTTTTGAAAAACATATTTTCTAGGCAATTGACTTTTGCCATTAATACCATAATTCATCTAGTTCTTTGAATTATGATTGCTCATATTTGGTTAAGTATGAATAGATGAATATTTGGTTTCAATTCATATTTTTAGTTGGTTCATACTCCTTAGATTGTTTTATGCATTCGATCACATTAAGTGCATAATATTAAGTTTAATTATGCAATTAGGGTTTATGAGATTTTAATTTACAAATGATAGAATATCCTTTTGGTTTGATATTATTTGAATTTGTAAATTCAGTTATTTCTCATACATTTGATCTTTATGCATTAAAACATTTTGCCATGGGCTTACAGTTCAAAATTTAAAGTATATATTCAGTACATTATTATTAAAAATGTTGGGTCCCTTTTTGGTTTGGACTCATTAGTGTTTGAATATTAAGTTTATACTTTGAAATCTCATATAGCAAATTGCTTTAAGTTATGCAGTTTATTTGGAATATATATGAGTTTAATGTTTAATTTTGTGCATATTTGTCCATCGCATAATATTATGTTTTTAAATTATGCAATTTTATTATGCCTTTAGCAATGCATTCTTTGGGATGGAATTATAGTAGTTCCTTATTAATTTGGGCTT